CAAATTGGAAATCGGAAAAAAATCATCGGTGGCAAATCACGAGAGCTGTCCAAATCCGGTCTCAGATTTTGTGTCTGCAAAAAACACCGCCCTCCAGAAAGTAGGCAAGATTGCTTGAATATCTGAACATATCGAGCGAAGGACGAAAAAAAAAAAATCTCCGTACGAAGATGCGCCTTGAAACGTCGATTTACGCGGTATTTTCAGATTTCGGAATAAGTACCCCCACCCCGAGAAAAGTGCACCTTTGTGCAGGGGAAAATATTGTGAATGTTTCCGGAAACGGACCATATGACCATTTATTTCTGGGTACAAAATTGACGTCTTCCGGGTACACCAGTAACCAATATCGGTCACACCAGAGGGTCCTAATTACAGCGGACGTTGTACCCGATGGAGGTTTCTTCAGAAATGGGTACAAAACATGGTTTTTCGGCCAATCAGCTGACAGCCTGGGGGTGCAAGCGTGTTCTGACCGCACATGACCCGATTCGCAGGGTATCCGTCGATTGACTTTTTCTAACTGAATCGGTACACCTTCGCAACATGTTTTTTTCCGAAAAAAGAGTCCTTAGAGCGGGGTTGCGTCCTGAAAATTCAGGGGACGATAGCTCACCATCCTCGGGGTCAATGAAGGCATGCTTTACCTCAAACTACGCGTCTTTTGATAAGGGTGTGGTGCGAAAAGTCAGCATCGCCGAGACGAATGGCAACCGTTTGTTGACGTCAAACATGTTTACAATACTTAAAATGATATGTACAGCAGTCGGGGACGTGTTGAACACAACAACTACAAACAGTATACAAGTTTGAAGTTGGCCAACTAATAATGTACTGCTGGTGGCAGCGGAGGAAGGGGGAAAGTCCAAGTAGAAATATATTTATCTCATTCTCGTGAAACACAACAAAAACGAGCGTATTTCAGCGTCGCACCGAGGCACACCAACCAGTACATATAATAACTGTCCCGACGGAGACCAAGCTACCCTGACGGCTTTCCTTCCACACATCGCGAAGAGTTCCCTGAACCTCCCCCCGCGGCTTGGCTCTACGGCTCTGTCGAGTTTCATGAGTAAACGAATGAACGTCTTCGAAAGAAGGTACTGCGTCTCACGGTACTGGCCACCCCTTCCCTCGCGTACAAATAGGATCGAATATCCTTCAAGCGAGAGATAACCTCGCCCTCGGTGAGGGACCAGGTTATGCACGACTCCGGCCTGCCGTCGCCGTCGCCCCTTCGCTCGATACGTCGTCGTCCACTTCTAAGCCGGCGAGATCCCTTTCTACTGCCTGCAGTTCCAACTCCACCTCCTCTTCTAACACCTCGGGGTCGTCCTCTACCGTAAGCCACGTCTTGACCGCCGTTCGGACTTCCTGCTCTGTGAGGTCTGTGCCCTTCTCGACAAAAAAAATGTCCGTCAACACTCGCGGCATGGACCTATATAGGTCCGTTACGCTATTTAGCTGGCATCGACATTTTTGAGACCATGTCACAAAGGCCGTCAATGATTGCCGCGTCGCCCTTGTCCTCTCGGTCAAGCCGCGTGTCCATGCCCTTGAGAACGTTGCAGTGCTCCCTGGGAAGGATGCCAGCCTTGAGCCAGCACCTGATGACCGTCTGAACGTCGAAGCTACGCCACTTCTGGGAACAGATCTCCGTGACGTCCAGCATTGTCGCCTGTCCTGCATCGCTGAGGCCCCGGCACTCTCTGCCGAAACGAAACACAGGGACGGATGAAAGGGCTAAATGTAAAACCAGCTCGACAAAAAAGTTGAAAGAACACCAATATATCTAGAGCCTTCGCAAGACCTGCGACGACGGTAACAAAGAGCGCCCCTACAACACATTGTCCCCCCACGGGTGGCCAACAGACCGGGTTTTAGGGGCACTTTTGCCAACCTGAATCGATATTATTTTGGCACGAGTTGCAACCTCCCCACCGCGGGTAATCCTCGCAATGCAACGACGGCCAGGTTGTGTAAGGCATACCTTTCTTGGAGGTTGCGCGTTGTTTACAAGTCGGACAGTGGGCCGGTTGCCGATGGTAGTGCAAGGTGTACCCTTCCTTGGTGGTTGTGCACTGCTAACAAGCTGGACAGGGCGGGGCGGACTGCCGATGGCGGCGCAAGGTGTACCCTTTCTTGGAGGTTG